TTTTCTCTTTGATTTTTTGTTAGGGATTTTTTGTGTCATCCTTAAGCTCAGAGATTATTTCCTCAGCCATGTCCAACCTACTGCTGAGCCCATCAGAGGCATTCTTCATTTATGTTACAGTGTTTTGATTGTTAGCATTTCTTTTTCATTCTTTCTTAGAATTTATGTCCTCTACTTACCCATCTGTCCTTGCAGGTTGTCTCCTTTTGCATTAAAGCCCTTAGCACTTTTTTTTTTTTGTGACACAAATTGTTTACTACTGGATTAGATTTGCTATTTTTTTTTTGAGAGGGCATCTCTCATATTTATTGATCAAATGGTTGTTAACAACAATAAAATTCTGTATAGGGGAGTCAATGCTCAATGCACAATCATTAATCCATCTCAAGCCTAATTCTTGTAATCATATCTTTAAGAAATCAAAATTCCTAGATGATAATTCCAACACTCCTGTCATTTCTGACTCTTGTTCAGTTTCTTCAATCTGTTTTTGCCTTTTAGCATGACTTCCAATTTTTTGTTGAAAGGTGGGCATGATATACTGGGTAAAAGGAACAGTGGTAAATAGGCCTTTAGTAATGTATGGTAAGATGGGGGTGGAGAGGAGAAACACTCGGCAATCCTGTGACTGGGTGTCAGTCTTTGAGGTAAGCCTCAGTCCCTGGCCATGAACTTCACCGGGGCAACTCAGTTGTTGTTGTTTTTAGCTTGTAAGATTTTGATTTTTTTTTCAGTTCACTAATGACATATGATGTTGAGTACTATGCTTAACCACTTCTCTTTTTTTTTTTTTTTTTTTTTTTTTTTTTTTTTTTTGTGCTTAGGTAAGAAACAGGTTGTCTAGAGCCTGCTAGAATTGGATATTCCCCTCTCCCACAGATAGTTAAGGCTTTGATAAAACCTTAGCAGATTAAGCTCTGATCAAATAATTTCTCCTGAAGGTAAGCCTTGTCCAGGAGAATAGAATGCTCTAGTGTATTTAAAAATAGTTCCTTTCTCTTTCCTTTGCTGGAAAGCAGCAGAGGATTTTTCTCTGATACTCACTGTGAAAACCTGGTCCTGGGGGTTAAATTCAGAAAAGTGTGGGGGCTCCCAATGACTGGGTCCCCCTGGAGTATTAAATTCTCAGACTTGTCCATACTGAGTCTCCAGCAACTTAACAAAAACACTTCAGGTTTTCCTGTACCAGTACTGGTTTCCATAGTAGTTTCTGCTCATGGATTTCTGCTCCAGTAAGTTGTAATTTGATATTCACCCATCTGTCCCTCTAATTTTGAGGGGAGCAGTTTGCCCTGTGATCACACTTCTCTGATGGATCTAAGAAGAGTTGTTAGTTTTTCAGTTTTTTCATCCTATTGCATACTGTGAGGACTCCTAAGCGTCCTACATACTGGACTGGAAACAAGAAGTGAACAATAAAAACCAAGGACTTACTTTTACCAAGAAAAAGTATTTAAGAAACTGTACTTATGAGTATCTTAGAGATTTGTTTTTAACAATAGAAATACTTAAAATCCTATGATTACATCACAGGATATACCAAAAAATGTTATTAAAGAAATCAGAGAAGATTTTATAAAATTAGGAGATGTTCTAGTAGAGAAGGGTCAGTACTATAAGAATTTGAATTTCCCTAAATCAATTTTATTGGAACAGTGGTAAGGTGATATAATTGCTTTAAATATTTTAAAGGGTTTGATAAAAGCTTTCTAAGTTAATGTGGGGGAATTATAGGAACTTTAACTACTACCTCTGAAAACATAGAGTTCCATAATTAAAATTTAGGTACTTTTAAAAAAATAGATGAGTGAAAAAACATAAGAATCCCAGCTAAAAGAAATTCCAAAATCCAAATATATGAGAAGTTTCATTTGTGACATTTCCAATCCATAGGGATAATCTACTCTATTCCTGAATAATTCTGAGACATTTGGGTAGGTCTTTGGAAAAAAATCTGTATCTGGTACAAGTCCCAAAAAAATTCCATATTTATCAAGGATTTAAATGTTATATACTCTACTGAACATACATATTGATATTTATAGTGTTGGTTGAGAAGTGGTTAAGCATAGTACTGAAAGAGGAAATCCGAAAGAGAAAAATGTAATAGATACTACATAGAAAGGTCATAAAAAATACAGTACCAAAAAATATATAAATAGTATCAAAAAGCAAATAGCAAATTGGGGGGAATATTAATCATATTGATAGAACCAATAGTCTCAACAATCTAAAGAATGTTTAAAAATCTTAAAAATTAGAAATAGATGAAGACTCCCATTGGAAAATAGGTACTTAAATGCCAATGAGTTAATAGATGACACAGACAATAAATCTGGAAGAAATTTAACCTCTTGATCAAAAAAAAATACAAGTTTAGAACATCTATAAATCTTATGGTGATTAAACAGAATTAAAAGGCTAGTATGGAAAACAAGTAAAATACTGTGGATTGTGCTGCATAATATGAATAACCTTTCTGATGACTATTTGGCCCAGGATGTATAAGAAACCCTGATGTCCCAACTCATTATCATCTTTCTGAAATTTTTAAGTTAACAATACTTTCTGAAATATTTAAGTATAGGGTAATATATAACCAAAATCCATTGTAGCTGTTGAATTTATCCTAAGGAAATAGTTAAGAAATGGTGTAAACCTTTAGGAATAGATGCTTATTCAAGTGTAACTGTAATAGTGAAAAATTAGGAACACAATATCTAACAATAGAACCATATATTAAATGTCGTGTGCCCGTTAAGAAGCCTGCTCATATGGGGGTGGTGATGAGCTCCAAAACTCCAAAACAGTTTGGTCCTAGGTTTTGTAAACCAAGCAATCATACAAAACATACGGCTGTTCAAAATAGATATAAAATGAGCAAATGGCATAGTGTTTATGGCAGTTTTCTCTCTAATGGGATTACAGGTGAATTTTGTTCTTTGTATTTTTCTGAGTGTGGATTAGTTGCAAAATCAGAACACAAATGATTTTTTAAGTACATTAAACTGGTGATTATTGATGAGTTTTTTTCCTTGTTATAAAGAAAATTCACTAATGGCTTAGATTAGATTTATAGTTTTCATTTTTATTTCTTACTTGCAGTGTGGCTTATTTGGAATCCACATTGTCAATTTATGAAAACAATAATCGAATTGCACCTTAAAAAAAATCCTTTCATGCTCCTGAGGGCACACACAGATGATAAGAATTTTCTAAGATCATCTATTGACAGAGCTCCAATTCTGAGTCACTAAAGGCATATTTGATGTGGCATTTAGCCTTCCAGGGGTCCCTTCCATCTGTCTGCAGAGCCATTTTTATCACCCAACCCTTTGTTTATTTCCCTGACTTGAAATGCCTCCCTCACAATCGCCAGGATGTCTCCTGATCCAAGCTGCCAAGGGGATGGCAGAGGAGGTTGATTTCCTGACAAGACCACTTTCTCTTGAACCCTTGATAGGTTCAGTAGTCCTACAAAGGTGTATGGATGCTTTGGTGCAGGGGGCTCAGGTGGTGGCTTAGAGCCCATTTTATTCTTAGCGAAAGTTACCATTGCTCGGCCTCTGTTTCTCCTCATTTGTTCTTTCAGTAATTAGTGGTTAAGCCCCTACTATGCGAAGCACTGTTGAGAGAGTGGAGGACAGACGGATAAGATCCTTGAACTCTTGGTAGCTACTCATCTGAAATTGGAAATTCAGAACACTCCCCTAAGAGAGATGGATGAGAACTCCATGTGACAGTGTGCATGGCATCTAGACTGTTCTCAGTAAATGTTACTTCATTTCCCCCCCATTCTTTGTTGTCTGAAACTGGGCAAAGCATAGCATTGGCTACTCTGTGCTTAAAGCTCTCCAGAGAACAGACTTCCCCTTTATCTCTGTGCTTTTGTTCTGCGGCCTTCTGTCCAAGAACTCTTTCATGATGTTTGCCTGTCAAGGATGCTGGAAGAGGAAACCGATTGCTCCTCACGTCCCAGTGCTCTCACTGAGAAGAGCTCACTTGGCAGCTAAGGGGCTGAGGAGCTGAGGACTAGCGGGTTAGTGCAGAATGCTTGAGATTCTGTGAGTCAGCTCTTCCTGGAGCACGTGGTTCCTGCTTAAGTTCACTCAGCATCTGCATCAGCTTCTTGTGCTGGTCTCATGTTCACCGCAGCCCAGTGTCAGAGACTCCGCTTCCTCAGCTAAACATCTGTCTGAGGCTCTCCCACCTAAAGCTGCCAAACAGGGAGGGACTTTAGAGATCAAGTGACTGGTACAAACAAGCTCAGAGACGTTTGATATACTGAAAAGTATGGTTGGTGACAGAGTCTGCATCTTGTTCAAAATGTACTTTGTACCTTGCTTGGATATTTTTGTAGTCACTGAAAACTGTTCTCCTCTATGGACAGCACATCCCAGATTCAGGGGTAGCATTAGGCATTGCCCCCAATCCATGGACAGCTGAATGGGGAGGGACTGTTAACGCCATGACTCTGTGTACCATGTTGGATGAGTCCAGTTTTTCCAAATTTTGAATCAGCAACCCTTCGCCCGCCCACCTAGTCTAATCCAACTTCCCCCAAATTGCCATGTCTTTCCTGTATGCTTGTGGCCCACCCATCAGTACTGATAATGAAGGAGCAATCACAGGGAAGAAATTCTGCAGGGGAGCCGAGCACATTTTGTACTAGGAGGTTGCTGTGGAGTGGTGGCACAAGCTGCAGAGATACAGGGAAGTAATTTGCACGTCACTGCCCCACACCAGCTCTCCTCACTCTGGATGGGGCTCCCGTGTTAGAATCCCTGGGGGAACTACTGGCATAGGTGTTTTTTTCATGCCTATTGATTCCCTGGAGCCGTGGTTGGGAGATGTGGAAATGTCCAGGGGAAAAGTTTGTAATACATTGGGTATTATCAAAAATGAGATTAAACAATGAATAGTTAAGGCTCTTTGTTCTGTGATGTCTATTGAGACTCCTGCATTTAGCTGCTCATGGTTGTGCATTTTACTTTCCACAGGACCAGCTCTCGGCTGACATGTACAGTTTTGTGGCCAAAGAAATTGACTATGCAAACTACTTTCAAACAGTAAGAGTCCAGAATGGTGAGACTGTTTAGTCTTTTCGTGAAAGTCATGGTGCAGACAGGAAGGGACATAGGCATGGAACTGGGGGGCCCTTGGTGGAGCATGTCACCAAAAAGAGTGGGGCTTTGTTTTACCTGTGCATGAATCCTGCCTTCTATTTCTCCTTGTATGGATTTCTCTAAAAACCTAAGAATTAAGTGTAACCCATTCATGAAGATGATTGCAACTCAGTGGTCTATGGCAGTGGTTCTCAACCAGGGGTGATTGTGTGCCCTCTTCCTGCAGATGTGGGTGAGGTCTGGAGACATTTTGACCATTGAGGAAAGGTGCAGCTGGCATCTAGTGGGTACAGGTCCAGGATGCTGCAAAATGTTCAGCAATATAGAGGGCCACCCCCACCGCAAAGGACTGTTCCATCCCAAGTGTAAAGCCAAGGTTAAGAAACCCTGGTCTCCCATAAACCAGGAACCCGGGAAGAAGAAGGAGATAGCCTCATCCCCTGCACATATTTGTTTTTAATGTAGATTCTTGCCAAAGGTGATGACAAGTAGGTAAACGATGATTAATGGAGCCCGTTTGCCTGTCTCTCATCAGTGAGCAGATTGAGAGAGTAGAGAAACATGGTCTGAGTCATCCGTACTTGAATAATGTGGTCCAAATAACTAGGACTCTGGCTCTGTACCAGGGTAAGTGAAAAGGCAAGTCAAAAAAATAAAAGCAGAAACAAAATTTGGGAGAAAGAAATACAAATTAAAAATCCAGTTAAGCTCATGTGCTTTTAAAGTCGGGAATACAGCTCAGACCTGAAAGCCCTTGTTTAGGGGCAGTGACTGCATGATAAGGAGGGAGGTAAAGAAAAGGAGAAGGGGAGAGCCTGCAGGGCTTGCAGTGCTCCGCGTCCGGCAGAAGAGAAGAGCTCTGGGCTGTGAGCAGCCTGCCAGCACTTACTTTCCTCGGTGGTCCCGAGGCTCCAAGCTCCACCTGCCCTGAAAGAGCTGACATGCATTCCTTCAACTTGGAAAATCTATTCTTAAAAAGCAGTACTTTTTCAAGTATAAACCATTGGTTTTATTTCTGAGGGTAAAATGTAGAGTTTCTGCAATTAATGAATTGGTCACATTCCAAGCTTTCTTAGACTGCCTAATTATCATTTGTATACTGTTTCTTTCAATATCTTGATTTCTTAAAAAAAATACTAGTTTTGCTTGGAGATAATAGTGTCTAGACCCCTTGTACCAGGCGTTTACACAGAGGGACTCCCTCCCCTCCTGCTCAGTATTGTGTGTGTGTGTCGGGGTCTTAGGAAAGGCTTAAAAAATAAATGAAGTAACTGTGGGTTTTTACCTGCTCTTATCAGCATTTTGGCAGTTTTTATAGTAGTGGATGATCAAAACAGAGCATCTTGAAAGAGTTTTTTCTTTGGGCTGCATCACTGTAGCCACAGCAGTTTTGCCTCCAAGGTACTTGAAGAGCCCTGTGCATCAGGCCACATGCTTTCTGATCAGCCGTGTATTAAACTCCCTGTGCAGAAACCAGCATATACACAGGCTGATGGCATTTAGCTCCATCTTACAGGCAGATGGAGTTCTAAATGTGTTCTCAGCTGTGTTTTCCTGTTTCACCTCTCTTCGTTGCGTATGGCTTTGAGAATGGGGTGCAATGTAAGATAGGGTAGCAGTGAGGCAAGCTCCCCTCGGGCTCCAGCGAAGCAAGCTCCCCTCGGGCCCCAGCGAAGCAAGCTCCCCTCAGGCTCCAGCTATGGACTGGTCCCCCCTGTTCCTTCATGGTTTTCCTACCTCCCAGATTTCTTTGTGCTAACTTCTTGCTACAGAGGCTGAATTAGTATATCTCATTTTAGGTGCCTTGAGGAGGGAGCAGGGCACTCCACCTCCTGTGTGAGTAAGGCAGTGCCTCCATGCAGAGCCCCCTGCATGGCACAGCAAGCCTGTGCTCCCTGCCCTTTGGCAAAGGGTAATACTGGCCCTTGTGTTTTCTCAGCTAATCGAAGTGCAGGCGGAGTTCCACCGGAAGTCGCTGACACTTTTGCAGGCTGTGTTACCTCAGATAAAAGCACAACAGGGTGAGTACAAACCTTCCTTGGAGGGAAAGGTTGGGGGCCTGGTTGCCTTCCCCAGTGAGACTGATTTTTGTATTTCAGTTACCCTTATGCTCTCCCAACAGGGTCACATTTAGATGAGCCACTAAAACTTCTCAAGCTGATACCTCAGTGCAGTTGCACACACACATGCACACAAATGCATGCACATGCACACACATGCATGAACACTGCCCCCTCAAGGGGATGAGTTGGGGGTTGTGCTGGATGTGTCTGGAGGTGCATGTGGAACATGAAGCCCAGTAGCTCTGGATGCAGGTGGTTAGCCATCCACCCTTCCCAGTCCTCTTCCTCATCCCCAAATCTACAAGAATGGAGACTCCACTGGGCCTCCGTGTCTTAGAGAATCTGCATGAGCCGAGGAAAGACATCTTCTAGCATGAGTGACCTGTACTAACTGCCGACTGATCCCTTTCTTGCTTTGCCCCCTCAGAGGCCTGGGTAGAGAAACCGTCCTTCGGGAAGCCTCTGGAAGAGCACCTCATGATCAGTGGCCGGGAGATCGCCTTCCCCATTGAGGCGTGTGTGACAATGCTGCTGGAATGTGGGATGCAGGAGGAGGTAGGTCTGGGCTTCTCCTTCCCCACGAGGGACCTACAGAATCTTCTGTCCTGGTAGCCTCCACCCTGACCCACACAAACCCAGATGTGCTAAGATAGGGCACTGCCCGCTGGAGGACTGTGGGAGACAACAGGCCGGCCCGGAGGAGTCCATGGCCCCACCTGGCTGTGGCTTCTCCATATTTCACATGCATGGGCAGGCGGCTACTACGGCGACTGCTTCTTTCTCTTCCTCTTCTTCTTCCTCTCGTCCTCTTCCTCCTCCTCCTCTTCTTCTTTTAATAAGTTTCCTGATTTAAAAAATAGAGCTATTAACTTTTTTTATCAGAATCCTTTTATAGCAAATATGATTGATAGAGACATTAGGAAGGACTTCTAGGAGCCACATGTACAAAAGTCTACGAGAAATCGGTGACTGTTATTTTTATTGCTGTGTAAATCATTTCCTGAGAGAGACCTGTCTTTGGTTTCCTCAGTAGGTTATTTAAAAATCTTTACTCCATCTTCCTTTGATCTGATCAGCCAATCGATATTTACCGAGGGCCTGCTATGAATTTGTTGCTGAGCAAAGTGTGAGAGCGTGGGCTGGGCTTAGGAAATGACCCGGGGAGGCGAGTCTCGCGTCTTGCAGGTAAACCGGATGAAGTCAAACAGTGTGCCAGCGTTTGAGCAAGCCGTGAAGGCTGCAGCAGGAAGGAAGCCAGTGGAGGTTCTGAGGCATGTTGGCCGCCTCCTGTATGCCAGGCCTGCTTTATTTTACATCACACTAGCTCTTCATAAGGAATGGGAAGAATTTTTTTTTTTACCACATTTCAAGTGCCAGGAATTTTCATCTGTGTTCTCAATTACAAGATGAGACCACCCCTGAATGATAGTTTCATAGAAGGAGGTGAACGAGGCCTTTTCTGTCCCCATCATTTTTTTTCCCTCATGGAAATACTGAAACACATAAAGATAAAATAGTGATTCCCACTCCCCAGTTACTGTCAATCCTATGTCCATTTGCTGCTGCCGAGTCCCTGCCTTGGATATTTTGAAGCCAATCTCGACATTCCATCACTGCATCTACGATGCTTGCATATGTTTCTCTGAAAGGTAGGGGGGTGTTCTAAAATATTACAAAAACAGCACAGAGAATATAGTCAATGGTCTGTGACATCTTTCTATGCTGACAGATAGTAACTGCACTAGTTGGGTGAGGATTTAATAATGTAGATAACTGTTGAATTGCTCTGTTGTATATTAGAAAACAATATTAATATGGTACATCAACTATCCTGCAATAAAAAATACTTCAGGAAAAGTAAAATAAAATAGAACAAGAACAATATTATTGATATAAAAAGTAAACATACCTTATTACTGTCTGAAATATGAAATCAGTGCAAGCTGGTTCTGGAAGAACAGATGCACTCCCTCCGTCTCCTGCCCTGGCTCTTCCTCCGCCTGCTCTTTCCGCCCTTCCACCCACCTCTCGCCAGACCTCATCTCTCATGTGCACTTTTCCTTATTTTGCTCCATTCTTTTCCTCTTAGTAATAAATATGCTCAGCTTTCCCCCAGCCTAGAAAAAATACCTTTGTTCAGCCCACCTGCGGCGTGGATTACTTCCTCGCTCCTGCGTCTGGTTTTCTGTGCCGCCCGGTCTCTTAGAGTCACTCTCAGGATTGCCGCTTCCGCATCCTCACCGCCATCCTTACCACCTCTCACTCATGGCACTTCCTCCTGCGGGGGACTTCTGTCCCCACCACCACCCTCAGTGGCCCCTGGGACTCCACTACTGAATCCAGCGCTTGGCCACGTCGCTGCCCATGAAGTTATTGATGTCGCTTTCGCAGAAGCTAGCACTCCCCTGCGCCCCTGCCTGTGGGATCCTCTGTTTGGCACCACCGCCTGGCCCTCCGCCCTACAGTCTTTACTGTGGTGTCACCGTCCTCTCCTAGACCTCTGCCTCAACCTCAGCGAGGATTCTCACTTCTCACCCCTCCTCCAAGCTGCACTCCAGTGTTTGCTGCTGTTCCCATACAGACTTTCCTCTAAACCCAACAGCTGGACTCACTGCATATTTTGACAGTTCCTTCCTCCTGGTTGGCATGTCACTCCCTGGACAGCCTTACTACACCATCAGCAATCCATAGGCTTCTCTTTACAGCTTGACTGCCTTTGCTTCCATTGTCCAAACTGAACCCTACTGCCCTTCTCCCACAGCAGTGCTCTGGTTTTTCACAGGCCTAGACCATGCCTGTCCTGTGTGCTGCGGTGTGCCCTCTAGGTCACAGCAGCCCTACTGTGTGCTAGTCCAAAAGTGTGCAGAGTGCTGGAGAGCTTTGGGCATCTGTTTACTGCACACCCTATACTGAGCAGGGAGTTAGAGATCTTAGCAGGCCAAAGACCATGTGTTCCAGACCAGGAGCATTTTCTTCTAAAGGAACCTGAAAATCCAAATGGCCCTAAATGGCTACAGGAGCAAGGAGTGTCCCGCCACCCGTTCTGCTGTCTGTGAGCTGCATCTCTGAATGCAAAGGTCTGAGGAGGAGCAGCAGAAGCCAGTGGGGCTTCCGACCTATGGTCTGCCTTATCCATGGGTTGGGGGTTCCCTTTCCCCCCCTGACCTGCATCCACCTCCTCTTCCATGCACCCCTGCCTTCCTCTTCTCTTCTCTTGTCATAACTCCTCTTTCTGCCAGGTCACGTTTGTACTAGGAGGAAGGGAAGAGGCACCACTGCCTCACAGACAGGCCCTGGTCTGCCCATCACCTGAGGACATAGACTTTATTTGTCCTTAACAGATAGCCCTGTGGCTGCCCACACACACGCATGCACACACACATGCACACCCTTACCGTGTAGGCCGTGGCCTGTCCAACTTCCTTGACCCCTGTGTCTGACCAGTCTTAGTCAGATTCTTCTCCAAAATACGTCTTAAATACACAAGAACAAGAAGTCAGAGTTCCCCAGGTGCATTTATCCAACCAATACAGAGCCAGGACAGTGAGTCACCCACACTGGGCACAGGGGACACAGCAGTGGGTAGGGACCAGCTTCTGCTCGGCAGCCACATACCGAAAATGTTGAAACACTGAAAAACGTGACAGGAAAAATGCTTCTAGGGGACTTTGGAGGGAAGGGCTTGGTTTCCCTGCAGGGTCCCTGAGTGGCAGGGCTGACTGCTGACCCTCTGTCCTATGGCAGGGACTCTTCCGCGTGGCCCCTTCTGCCTCCAAGTTGAAGAAGCTGAAGGCTGCCCTGGACTGCTGTGTGGTGGATGTGCAAGAGTGCTCAGCGGACCCCCATGCAATTGCAGGTGGGCACCCCCTCGTGCTGTAGGGGCTCATGGGGAAGGGCAAGCATGATGGTTGTATGTGGCCACACATCAGGGAAGGGACCCTTGAGCCAGTGGCTCCCCAGCATGCTTTGGGGTGTCCCCTCGGCCCCATTTCAGGCTGGGTTGCTGTGGCCCCTTGAAGGAAGGTGTCCTTAGAACACCAAGAGAAGGTGAGGTGGTGTGGGAAATAGAAGGGAGGCCAGGATGATTGTAGCCCAGCCCCACTGCTGTGCAGACCTCAGAGACACCCACATGGAAGCCATGTGGCTCAGGGAGCCTGTCCCCAGAGGTCACCCACATGGGTGCTGCTGGCTGGTAGAACTGGTCTGTGTTGTGCCAAAGGGGTTCATAGCCAATTTTGTATTCATGCCCAGGAGCTTTGAAATCTTACCTCCGAGAGTTGCCAGAACCTCTTATGACCTTTGAACTCTATGACGAGTGGATTCAGGCTTCCAAGTGAGTACACCACATCTTGGAGTGTCTTACTGGTTGGGGTTTATTGGGAAGTATTGATTGAAATTATGAAAGCATGTAACCATGACCTAGCAAGTCCATTTCATGGAGAAATGCATGTATATGTGCTCAAAGAAGCACTTAACAAGGATGCTGATTTTTTTTTTTTGAGAGGGCATCTCTCATATTTATTGATCAAATGGTTGTTAACAACAATAAAATTCTGTATGGGGGGTCAATGCTCAATGCACAATCATTATTCCATCTCAAGCCTAATTCTTGTCAGTCTCCAATCTTCTGAAGCATAACGAACAAGTTCTTACATGGTGAACGAATTCTTACATAGTGAATAAGTTCTTATATGGTGAACAGTACAAGGGCATTCATCACAGAAACTTTCGGTTTTGATCACGCATTATGAATTATAAACAATCAGGTCAAATATGAATATTCATTTGATTTTTATACTTTATATGTGGGTCCTACATTTCTCCCTTTATTATTATTATTACTTTTATTTTTAATAAAGTGCTGAAGTGGTAGGTAGATGCAAGATAAAGGTAGAAAACATAGTTTAGTGTTGTAAGAGAGCAATTGTAGATGATCAGGTGTGTGCCTGTAGACTATGTGTTAATCCAAGCTAGACAAGGGCATTAAAACATCCACGGATGCA